CCCCCCCCCCCCCCCCCCCCCCCCTTGCCTCTTTGGAACTCCACAAATCAGCTGGATTTCATAATTGGCTAAACCCTCTGATTATTATAAGATGTAGTAATTGCTAATTCTCATCACTTGAAATCAAAACTTTCACTCTCAGCACGAGTTTAGCTTTCTTGGATATATAGGCAATGAAAAACTTATGGCTTCTGCAACTCCTCAGGTAGTGGTTTGTGCCCCAAGGGTTTGTTCAAATGATCAGACAGAGGAGGAAAATTGAGGCCCGTTGTAGGATTAATAGAGGTGCCATTATCCTCTTCTCGACTATCCGACTTCATTTGCGACGTCTCCAAGTCCCTGGATGCAGCAGGATCTATCACTAATTTGTCGATTTTTTGGTCCTGCAAAATGGTAACGATCAAAACAAAGCTAAACAAAGCATCACAGTTTAACATGCATACACGGACCAAGGATTTCTAGCTATCAGGCAGCTAATTACGAGTTTTGAGATCAAATAAAACTATGGGAAGCTACCCATGGAGAAATGTCTAATCTCTCTTTAGTGCAAGATTAAAGAAATACTTTTTCCATTATTTTCTTAACGATCATTTTGACATTTATGTGACATCAAAAGTTATATAAATATGGACCTACATCATGTCCAGATTCGTTCTCCCTTTTTTTTTATATACAACAACATTACCCCAGTGCCTCAAAGGCTCCTGCTCATTGCAGGGTAGGGGGGTCAGATGTACGCAGCCTACGCAGCCTGACCCCTATGTTAAAACATAGAGCAGTTGTTTCTAGATGATGCATGATGAGCGTCGAAAGTTGCATCAATAAAAACATAATGTTCCATTAAATGAGAACGGAGGGAATAGAGAGAAAACTTACATTTTGTAGCTCTTCAAGCTTCCTCTGCAAGGCCTCATGTTCTGCCTGGACACGGGATGGGACACCATGCTTCTGGTACACATTGTTTTGAGCCAAATCTGCATCAATATCACTAGATGTGGTTGCAAAGGGATGATTTGCAGGAATCCACCTGACAGTATCAGGGTCTACATCAGGAGGTATTGATTCTCCTTCCTTCAGAAACATTGTTGGTCTCTTCCACTGATATGCACGGGATCTTCGCTTTTTATGCACTGTTTGCAGCTCATCTGTAAGGGTCACGGGAGCTAAGCGGTACACTTTTCCACACATCTTGACAGTTGAATTGCTTTTGCTGACCTTCACCATGGGGTTATTGAATGGGTCTTCATACTTGAGAGGTGTAGATCTGTGAAGAAAGAGTAACAAGGTAAATCAATACGGAGTATATGCAATGGCAACACACTTATCATCTTACAAAGTGTGAAAATCTATGCAACGACTCAACACACAAACCATTTTCATTATTAGGTTTGAGTCAAGTCAAAAGAGAGGATTGCAATCTTCTAATTTGAAATTGTTTATACTATCATGAGTATCTTGTTAATCAGTAATAAGAAAACACATGATTCGTGAAGATAACACCTAAATACTAACCACAGTATGAAGAATCCTAGAGCTCACTTAGTGAAATTTAGAATCATACATGCCTCTTCTTTCTGATCTAAGCTGCCCACGGCGAACGAGATCAGCTACGGAGCCTGGCCGACTGTAACTTGATTTCCTTGCTGTTAAACCTCTCACCACAATAACTAACATGGTCGCTAGAAAGCATAATCCAATTGTAAGGTGTGTAGCAGAAAGTTTGCCAGTCTGCCAAAACAGACAAATTGGAGGCAGTAAAAGTCCAGTGAGCATTCAACTCATTCTACTTCACTTGGAAATGTAGTAGGTCTCATTCATTGCCAATGGATCTTAAAGAGTCATTATTGAGAATGTTTTAGTTCCAAGCACATAATGAACACTAAATCAAAATTGCAATTTAAGCTTCTCGTGTTCCGTACCTTCTATGAAGTTTTGGGTAGTAAACGCAGCAATGCATCTAAGGTCTAATGGAAACATCCTCTCGGTTTATTAGGGGTAAGAGTAAGACTAGGTACATCTTGACCCCCAGACCTAAAGGGTGTTGGGATTATATTGGGTTGTTGTTGATAATGCAGCAGGTTAACTAAAACAACCCAATTGAATCCCACAAAAGTAGGGTCTGGGGAGTGGGTAGGATGTGTATATGCAGACCTTGCCTCTACTTGAAAGCAGAGAGGCAATTTCCAAAGAGACTCCAGCTCAAGCACCACATGTAATCACGCACGCAACCTAACCCCAATGTTTAAGGCATAGAGCGCCTATTCCCGGATGACCCATGATGAGCGTTGAAAATTGCATTGACTAAGTACTACTTCACTATTAAAAGAAGGGCACATAATTTAAAGAGCCATTTTGCTTTATTCAATCATGCCACAAAGCCAAAAAGTAGTGAATCCTTGGCTCCATTGGAGATGATGGAAACATAATGTAGCAGGTGAACTCAAAATAAAAATTATATTGTGAGCGTGTTGTTAGAATCCAAGAGGTAAAATAGTATTTCATCCAAATGATTTGAATCAATACATAAATAAGCATAAACTAGTGTTCCCCCAAAGAAATAGAATCCAATCAACCAAACCACATCTAAGCAATCCATTTTAGAAGCCATAGGCAATTAGGCATAACAAGAAGCACTGCGTACAAAAATGTCTATAAGGAAATCTAGGTTTGATGTGCTGGAATCAAAGTGATGCAGGTTACTTAACACTCCCACTGCCCTATACTTTTGTTGCTGATTTGACGTGACTCACTTTTTAGTAAAATAGCTGAAATTCAAAATAATGATGCCTCAAAAAACAATGAAAAGACCTGACTCTATGCAACTGCACTCTACACAAAAAGAGGAGCCATTTTTAAGAAAAAAGAACTTCCCCAGCTCTACCTTCACTGGTAACTTTCTCTTGAGTTCTGATGAAATTCAGCAACAGAATTTGAAACCCATATCCCATACCCACAATGCTGTACTTTACAAAAGGCAATTGGCAACAATAATTCAGGGTGCCAAAATATTATCAAGAACTCACTTTGCTTTGAAGAAGGAAAATATTCAATTCAGATGCGCATGACTATTTCTAAGACTAGTACTAGAAAAAAACCAGGAAATTACCGCGGAGAAGACGAACACGGGGAGAGAGTCTATTGATTCCTTCAATTTCGCTACTACATTTTGCCTAGGTTTCTCAGCATCGTCCTTCTCGTACTTCACAATCACGACGGCGTCTTTAGACAGGCGCCCCTGTTCATCGGAACCCACAGCTCTCACCCCAAACTTTCTGCAGGTAACTCTTATATTCCACTTGGTATAATTAAAAGCCACTCCCAAGTCCGACCGAAACCGCAGCTCATCCAACGAGCTTCGAAGCTTAACCAAACAATGCACAAAATCAAAAACTTCCACTGGAGGGGGGAAAATCGAAAATTTGTGAAGAGTAGAAAAAGAGCTTGGGAGAGTTGACTTACAGGAATGAGCGATGGCGCGCGGAGGTACAGTGTCCCAATTGACGCCATCTTCGTCGTCAACTGCTATTGCTGGGGTGCGAATTGGGAAATCATACTGGCATGGGAAGAAAAATTAGGGCAAACCAATTTGTGAAATTGACAAAAGATGAAGAATTTATGGAAAAGGGCATAAAAAGGTTGGAATTTATGAGAATGCCCTCCTATATCTAACATAGATTCGCGTGAGGCGCGTCCGCTCTACTTGCGTAAAATGAGAGGAAATGACAGAAAGGCCCTTCCAACGAAGAAACAAAACGTCACTGTTTATTACCGTTACTTCAAAAATTAAACGGAAATATTAAAATTAACGACCAGCCGTTAGGTTGCCTTCGAAGCATCACGATGATTTTTAGAAAGGCAAAACGGCGTCGTTTGAAGCGCCAACCCCTCCTTAATCCCCCGACCAGTCTTCGGAAACGATACGCCTTCATCAATCGAAACTCTTCTGCTCTTCGTTCTACATTGCTTACCGTCGTCGGATACCTTCAAGAACTACCACACATCTCTTTGCCATGGAGAACACCGGAGCAAGTAGCGGGTTCCAGTACAAGAGAAGAAGAATTCTAACCCAAACACAAAGGGAGGAGATGGAGAATGAAAACCAGGTATTTTCAAATAATTCTTACTTAAAATTAACTAATTTTTGTTTTATTTTGAAATATTTGGGATTGGTGTCAGATTTCTGCTGAGGTAACTCCATCTGTGGAGGGTCAATCGTTCCTGGATGCTTCGGAAATTGAGGTGCATTGCATGTACACTAAAATATAACATTTAAAGTATTTTGTTTGTTTTTTGAAACATTCGGAAACAGAACAAGTTATTCGACCATGGAAATAATCAATATA